TTTAGTCACTCCCACAGTCTGGAATTTCAATTCCTGACACCTGGAAGAGAGATGCCTTGAGACATGCTGGGTTCAAATCCTGGCTCCACCGTTTCTTAGCCACGCTGCAGCTTCGGCCTCCTCGCCTGCAAAGTGGGAAGGCAGTGATACCTACTCTACCAAGTTGTTACTAGACTTTGAGGGACTGCATGTGTTATTTATTCAAAGTGCTTAGCACTATGCATCACACAAAGCATGTGATCAGCGACTGTGGTTCCCTCCAACCCCTGCCCCTCTCTTCTTTTGAGGAGAATTTCTAGGCTGAGGGACGAGAGGCTGGGGCAGGTAAAGGAGCTGGGTGCCTGGCTGTTTCTGCTAAAGCTCTGGGTATCCCCATTACATTGATGGTGCTGGTTTTATCTTCAGAGACTGAAAACAGTCTGGTCAATTTCTATGGTAATCTCAAGAACAGTTTTCCTTGACCGTAACTAACCACAGCAATTTTACCATGTGGAAAATACAGGGTGTCCCCAAAAAATGTATGCACGCTTTAACAGCTGATAGCTGTGAAATGAAAATGAAATGTATTTTAATAAACACTGCTTTATAATTATTGGAAGTGTGTGCATACATTTTGGGGGACACCCTGTATTCACAATGATCACCCTGAAGATATTTCAAATGAATGGATAAAAAAATGAATGAGTTACTGAAAACAAACATAAAACTTTAAAGACTAGAGCAAGGCCGTTTTCACATGGTAACCCCGCTGGTGCTGTTCTCCTGGAATCCAGCCCTAAAATTAGACTTAGACTGCTCTCCAAAATCGGCGTTGCTGTTCCCTCCCCTTCCTGAGGTCCACATCCCCAAACAGCTGCTGATACCAGAAGCCAAGAGAAGGGCTGGAAAGCAGCAGGCGCCCCCCCACTGTGGACCAGCCATTTTGGAGCAAATAAAGTCATTAAGGAAAGTTTTAACAATGCGTAACCTTTCAGCTTTACTCTGCTAACAGCAGGTAGCTCGCCTTTCCGAGACAGGAGTCTGCATTGAAGTCCCCAGTAAGCAGGACTTGACCTTCATTTGCAGTATACGCCGTATTAAATATTCACAATCCATGTAACTATAGCATAAAAAGTAGCACTTTAAACATGAATCAAAGGAATAACTATCTTCACACAGGTGAGTCATCCTTTCCCAGAACACCACTGGAAAAGGGCAAATACCCAGGGCCCTGAGCCTATCTTCCGACTTTCTCTGGGAATTCTAGAAGCAGCAGGAGCCACTGCATTAAGCAATCCATGAATCCTGCCCTCACACTGACATCTTGGGGCTTTTTCTTTTCTTATCTATTAAGGAAGAATCACTGTTCCTGTGTCAAAAGAAGGGAACAGACAGGGACTGGAACCAGCCACGATGACATCATCACCCACAGGACATCTAGGGGCACTTTAATTTTTTTAATTGTTTTTGACTTAGTTGTACATTTTTAAAAAAATCTTTGCTTCTCAGAGGATCAGTGTGTGGGAATAAAGGGTCAGCATAAACATACACAGACATCAGAATTAGAAGTTGGAGTGGGGTATGCCTTAAAAATTGAAAAAGAAATGGAGTTCTTTTCTTTTGGACAGTAATTGTCCCATGTGGCTCACTGAGGGGTCCTGGGGAGTGGGACTGCTGTGTGTGGCAGGTTAACACAGCTCTGTGTCTGTTAAGGAATTGACACTGATGTCTATTCAAAGACTCGGTGGCACAGCCTCCTCTGCTTGGCTGTTTCTAGAGAGTCTACCACTGGGATGATGAAGCATAATTTTAACAGTTTGACGTGATTCTCTTGGGCTTTCAACTCCAGGAGTTATGAGGACAATCCATCTTTGCCGATGCCAGTAACCACCTGAGGCTGCCCACCTGTTCCTCTGTGGAGATCACTAGGGAAACTAAGACCCAAGGAAGGGCTTCTCAAAGCCTTGAGTGAAAAAGAACTGCTAGGGGATCACCTTGGTCTAACAATGGAAAAGAAAAGACATGTAGTTGAGAATGTATTTGGAAATGATTTACCCACTGCTTCGCAATAGCAAAATAAGCAGTGAAAGGTTAAGAAGGCCATGCGCCCATCAACTGTGACACTAATCTGAAGGGCCTTCCTCACCTGCCGCCACACAGGTGAAGAACCGCCCAGCCCACCTGTCTTCTTGCGCAACCAAAATCGGCCCATCCTGTTGACACTAAAGCTGCAGAGCCTCGCACCTTGAATTTGTATTGCCGGGGAATCCCCACTATTTGGGGGAGGCCAGCTCTGGTTAAAATTTACCGAAACAAGCCATTTCATTGACAATGTCTGCCCAGCAGGTTTGAGCAAGGGAAGGCCTGTAGATTGTCCTTGAAGTTACTCATCTGAAGGGTATACACACGAACTAGAATTCATCTGAAGGATACTGGGTGCTCTCTTCCAGGGTAATGGTTTCGTTTAAATTCCAAGAGAAGTTTACAGCTTTCTTTCCAAGATGCCCATTTCTTTCCAATGGCCAGCAAAACCACCAGTGGGTAAAGTGATGACAGTTTTGAATGAAAAAGATGGGTTTTAGGAACTGACAGCCTGCTGCTTTCTTAGCTGCTTTCCATTTGCATTTTAGGTGTGGAGAGAACCTCACTTTATCTTGTTCACTTGGCGTGATTATAGTCTGTCTGATAGATCTTTTTTTAAAAAAATTCCTGGGAACCTATAGACTTAACATAAAGGTTACTTTACAGACTCCACTTTAATTCCTCCCTTTAGTTAAACTGAGCATGCTTGCCACCTGTCCCCAGAAAGAAGGAAGACTCCTTGGTAATGACTATGCCAATCAGGTCACAGGCGGGACAGAACCTTGGGGTTGGTTTCAGAACCAAAAGAAGTAAAGCAAAGGAAAAGCAAAAAGAGCTACATAAATAAACACAAGGCCTTCTTATTTACAAAGTCTCTCTGCCAGACCACACAGCCTAGTGACAGAGAAAAAGACCGAGTTTAGGATGAGGCTAGGACAGTCCCCTGGGAGAGTGAGGACAGTCTTGGCTCTAGGATTATGGGCATTTTTGCTGGAAAAGCTGAGAACAGAATAGAAAGTCCATCCTTGGTGTAGACTCTCTGCAACTCCATAAAAGAGCCAGAACCAGGGAGGACCCCCAATGCCAGCCTCCCCAAGGCTTGGGAAAATCAGAACAAAACCCATAGGGCACTGTGGTAGCACAGGGCATCAGAGGAAGAGGCTCTTGCCTTGTGGAAGTCCACCAGGATCTACGTGCAAAGGGCTGCCTCACAGTAGACGCTGTAAAAAATGACACAATTCAGACCCATCCAACAAGAGCATTTTATTTTAACAGAAATACAGAGGAGCAAGAAGGGATGAAAGGAAAGAAGGCACCGAGGCATCTGTCCTTCTAGCCGATGGCCACACTCACCTCCAAGTAAGGGTTTGCTCTGTCTAGGGCACACAGGCTACATGCCCAAACCCATCTCCTGAGCCCTGGCATGGAAGCTGGCAGGAGAGAATGGAGAAGTAAGACTGGGGGCTTTAGAAGATCTGTGTTTCAATTCAAATATGGTCAGAATTATTGAGTGTAAATATTTAGAAGGGGCTTACCTTCAATGACATACCACTTGAAGTTTTCCAGACTGAAAAAAGCTCTTCTCTTTCTTGGCCAGGAAGAGCTGAGAGAGGACTGTGTGGAATCTCATCCCCTGGAGACCTTTTAAAGGACCCTCCACCTGAGCTGGGTGACGGCGGCCCAGCTTGTGTGTGGAGACGGGCTGAAGGACCCGATGCTCTCAGACGTGGCTGATTCCCAAAGACAGGTAAACGGAGCTGGTGTTTTCTTTATCTTCCCTGACACGACATTTTGGCCTTGGCATCCAAGTGCACAAAATCCTTTGGCTGGTGACCAGATGACACTGAGAAATTCAGAGTTTAGGCGTGCATGAAATATTATCATCCGGAGCCACAGGGAAAGGACGCTAAGCTCAGAATTCAGACACACCAGGGTCTGTGCCAACAGGAGCATTGAGCAGGTTTCCCAGAGTCAGATTCGTATCCAGCCATACCAGGGACAGAGTTAAAGACACACTCCCAGTGAAAAACACAGGCAAAGAGCACGGCCACTGTCCAGTGTCAAGTTCATGTCACCACAGAAAGGCTGGTCAGATCAGCTCAGATCCAGTTTCTCAGAGGCTTCAAGATTGCAACAGAATAGTTGGAACAAATGATGCACCCAGGGGTGATGCCCCCAAGAACCAGGGCAGAACTGGCCACCACCTAGCAGCTCTGCCTGCTGACCTCCTCTGCTGCCTACAAATCCTTTACCATCTGTCGCATAGACCCCACCCCTGGCTCACCCTGAAGCACCAGTTCACTCAGCTGGTGCCTGAGGGCCTGCACTGGTGTACACTCTAGAAATTCTCAGACTGCCATGGTCCTCCACCTCTGGGAGTCATCATGAACTCCTCTGTCCCATCTCCTTCCCTTCCCGAGTCAAGAACCACCAACGAGCAATGCTTCAGCTGAGTATTTGGCTGGCAGGTACAAAGGATATTATCACGCTTTCTAACTGACCTCAAATAAGACCAAAGCACTGGAAACGCTAACAAGAAAAGAGCCCTACTGCCATGGCAAGAATGGCTCAGACCCTCACTAGTGGGACACTCTAACCTTCCCAGAGGTTGCAAATGCACACTGAAACTCTCTTACCCTCTTGGCCTCTTTAGTGCAAATACTTCAGCAAGAAACAGCTCTTTAAAAATAAATAATACCCAGAAAAAAAGCTTGCACTCAGATCCCCCTCCCTTCCTCTCATAGCCAGCAGGATCCTTCCTTGTGAGAGCTTGCTTTCCCATTCAGAAAATCAGCACAAACAGCCCTGCCTTCCTCTACGAGTCTTCCACACTCAGGAGGCTCTCGCAAAGGTTGGTGTTAAAGTAAGTCACTGACAGATGTAAAGGCTCATGGCTGTGCCAGAAAAAGGGGGGGGAGACAATGTATTTGAATACTTACTTTGACGAATCTATGAAGTATATTACAAGTGCACCAATGCTGAGAGCAAAGACTAAGACAACCTGCAAAACAAGAGAGAAATGCCATCACTTAAGGGAGGAACAACACTGGGATTTTATTTTTTAATTTTATGAAGCATGTAACCGCAGCTTGGAAATACGGTGCCAACTGCTTTCTGGGGCCTGCCTGGAAATCTATCCCCTTGCTCCCCCAATGTTGGCTCCTTACCTGGCAGTGGGCAGCAACCTCACTGCTGGCCAACAGGGGTCAGGGCAGACTCTTGTATCCTAAGGCGTGGGGGTTTTATTGGGCCCTGTTATCTCAGGGTGAATCTTCTATGCAACTGAAGTTAAGACACTTCAGTGGGAAATGAGCAGGTGAAAATTTGAGGTAATACAAATTTTCATATCGTATGCAAATGAAGCCCCAAGAGAACTCAAATACAGAAATATTAAATTTTAGCAGCTTTAACAAGGTGTAATTTACATACCATAAAATTCACTCATTTTAAATGTACAATTCAATGACTTTGAATAATTTTACCAAGTTCTGCAACCATCACCATACTCTCAGGAAGATCCCTTGTGCCTGTTAACAGTTAATCCCCCGTTCCTACCCCAGCCCTAGACAACCACTAATTGAGTTTCTGTTTTTACACAAGAAATGCCAATTGAAAAGCACAAAGTTAAACTTCACTTTGGGTGGTGAACACACAGTATAAACTACAGATGATATGTTATAAAACTGCACACTTGAAACCCATATAATTCTATTAACCAATGTCACCCCAATAAACTCAATAAAAAAGGTTTTAAAAGGTCAAATTATTTCTAGGACCAAACGCATCTTGTCTTTCCCACTGATTCCTGCAAGCCAGGAATATCTAGCAATAACTGTTTTTTCAGTACCTAACACTTCATCTAGGCAAAGTCGTCAATACTTTTATGTAGAGATGATCTTGTAATGTTGATCTCAAGTCGTACTTGTTTCAATAAACTCACAATAAAATTTTTGGGGGGAGAAGAAAACATATTTACTGCTTGTACAAATATCCGTGGGGTGGGGAAGCAGGTAGTTCTCAAATATTTTGGAAACCGTTTAGGTGCAGAAAACCAAATAAGGTAATACATGGGGCCAGCAATGTGGCAATTCGTGTTCTCCTTCACACCCTTCACTCAAAAGTAATCACCTCTGATAGAAAAGACAGCTCAGCAGCCCCTTCCGAGGATACCTGTCACAGCGAAGTCCATCAAATGAATACGAAGCAGGCTGGGCTGGTGCTGACACCTCTCTGCCCACTCAACATTCTAATTTGTTTACTCCACCTTTCACAGAGGGGAGTGTGGTCCAACTAAAAGCATGTTCAAAAATAAAACCGATGCTAAGAGCCACTGATGAATCTTGAGAACAAAAAGTAAACACCACCGGCACATGCAATGCCAGGGGCAACAGATACCTTTCAGGCCTGCTAATCTCCTACAGGGACTACAGGTTGAAAGGGGCTAGAAGTGTTGTCTCCTCAGAGTATCTATGAACACCCCTCTGGCACTGGCTGGTGCAGAGAGATAAATCCCAGTTTATGTGAAGACTCTGTAAGAATCAAGCCGTGTGTGTGTGTGTGTGTGTGTGTGTGTGTGTGTGTGTGTGTGTGTGTGTGAGAAAGAGAGAGAGAGATGGAAAGGGAATCACTCACACATTTCTGTACTTGTGTGTGCACCACAGTGGCTGGCAGAAAATGAAATCTGCATATTCATTGAAAACACTGCAAAACTCCCTGGAGCTCCAGGGGAGGGATGGTGAGCTACACATTAAAAACTGCGGTTAAAACAACTGGACCCTGTAAAAGGAACAGTAGTTCCACTGCACCTGATAAATCTTCCTCGTGGAAGGAAGTGGTAAGGCACCGCTGGGGCCTATTTTATTTTTCCATTTTGTTTTAAAAACTAAAACACGTCCCAGTTGAATCCAAGGAAACTCAGGCAGTCTGTTAGTTAATTACCGTGGACCCAGTGCAAATCCCTCCGGCAGCTCACCTGAGGCTCTCCCTTCACACGCATTCACTCATGCATTCCTTGCAAAGTTATGCACGAAAACAAAACCAAAAAACCATAAGCACTCCAGCTCTTCCCCCTATTATCTGAATGAGGCAGCAAAGCTTAAGATTAATTCTGATCTGTGCTGCTATATCTGAGACACAAACAGATCCTGGCCCTGACCTCATTCTCGAAATGCCGCAAAGAGAAGGGGTGTGGCGGGAACAGGGGGAGACCTCTGCTCCATTCAGGAACAGCTGATCCAAGGCTAATCTCTGGCAATCGGGCCGCGTGCGTGTGAGTGCATGTGTGTGAACGCTGCGCTTCGGTCAAGCTGGGGACACGGGCCTACTCCATTAAAAGCTCAAGCAGAAAGGAGGCCGATGGCAAGGGGTGGGGAGAAGGAGAGGAGAGAGGGGAGGGCGAGAGAAAGGAAAGGGGAAAGAAAAGGAGCGAAGTCCTTGCAAATGGCATCCACATCCTTCTGAGCTCCAAATCTCTGCTCTCCTGCAAGGGCGATGATCCCCAGCCGTGGAGTGGCCAAAGCAGCTGACACTAACTTGTCCCAGCTGCCTGCAGCCGGCCTCTGTGACGGGAAACAATGTGCAGCCAGTGGCAGGAGGGAGGGAATCCTGCTATCCTCTTAGGTGCAAGCTCAAATGTCAGCATCTCTCTGATCTGATCAGGCAAGGGAGAGAAGACACCCGAGAGGCACACGACCTCCACATCTCCAGGAACTGAAGCTGCTGCTGCGTGGACCTGTGCTCGGGTCCTAACCTTCAGCTGGAAGGCTTTCTCTCAAGTAGACACAGGAAGCCCAACCGCCCCCCATACCCACGCCTGCCTCCAGGTATGAAACGATCGATGGGCAGAGGATCTGCTTCTCCATATTGAAACAACTGTGCAAGTGATTTTTTTTTTAATTTTCACCCAAGGATATGTTATTTGACTTTAGATAGAGAGGAAGAGAGAGAGAGAAGAGAGAAACATAGACTGGTTGCCTCCCGTACACACCCCAACCGGGGATCGAACCCACAACCTTTTGGTGCATGGGATGACACTCCAACCAACTGAGCCACCTGGCAGGGCGTGCATGTGATTTTTAGGCTTGTTAAATGTCTCTTTATCATGTCAGGCTTGATCACATTGTCAGCCTGGATCAAGTGCTGCAGAAAAAACATCAACCCTTTGGATTTGGCCATGAAAACAAGAATCCAGTACAGATTCATCTTCTAAAGGCTCTAGCAAAGGACTTCTTCCCTCCCTCTACCACCCCCATCTCTATCTCTTTGAGAAACCCCCCCCCATTATCTGAGCACCCTACTCTAAATATAAAAAAATTCAGTTTCATGACACAAAATGATTCTATTTTAGCCTAAATGGTAACAGTTATGTTATAGAGCACCCCCAAATAATAATCTAAGTATTTCACACTGTTATGCATAAAGCCCTAGGAAAAACAAAGGAACAAAGTCCACTCGGAGTCATAAAATATATTCCTTTGTAGAATAATCCTTACATAGACGAATCCTATGCTATTATCCAGTCAGTGCTCCACTGTATGGTGTTGGTATAATCAGTACACAAGCTATAGGTTCGGTGGAACACACCTGAATGGAGCAGAGCTAGGAAGGGTAGGAACAGGAGCTCTGGTCTCAATATCCTCCCAGTTCTCAAAGTGTCCCTTCTTCCTCCATGTTGTGTCTCCTCTCATATCCGTCAGCAAAGAAGATGGCCATGGGGAGTCCCTCCAGGTGCTCCCATAGTCCCAGGGATAAGGGACACTGAAGCCCCAGGGACCTAATAAGATGAGGCCAAGAGAAGCCTAATACCCAAGACAAGAAATCCCTGGCCCCCAGCAGCGGAGTCACAGACTACTCCTCACAATGACCAAGCACTTTGCCAAGCTCTGTCTGCAAACAAGAGCTTGTGAACACAGTCTGACCGAGTAGATAAGGTGAGCCTGCCCTTTCAGGGTCCCCTTGTACCAACCTTCACGACAGCCTGTCCAGCCTTCCTAACCTTTCATAGTCTGGGTTCACAAAATCACCTTGGCTACCTGCATGGTGCTAACTGCCGCATTCTCAGGTTTACGAAACACCCAGATGCTGTGTGGCGATACCCAGCACTGAGTGCCAGATTCCTAAGCACAGAAGTGACTAGATAGATGTCATTGAAACAATGGTGTTTGTGAGTCATTTGTTTTCAAAATCCAATACGACGTGTGTTTGCGCAGAAGAATGCCAAGTGCACACACACAGTGTACTAAAAGAACGCCGGTCCCTAACACCTGACACCAGCAGACTGTTGATGAGAGAATATTCATAGCCATCTTGATGATGGAAATTCCAGCAGGCTCTGAAGATTTTCCAAATGTCTCAGAAAGTTCATAAAAGTGGAAAAGAGCACAGCAAAGCCCAGAATATCACCCTTAGGGCACCGGGGCTCTTCAAGGAAAGGGCAAATCCAATGCTGAGAATACAGAAGTGAGTGGATCAGGAACGTGGACTCTTCAAGGATGTTGCTCGTCCTAGAACCTGGTTCCTAGTTGCCAGGTTTGGGCCCAAATGCCTTCAATCAACATGTAAGGCTATGTGCCCTTCAGACATGAATTTAAGGCAGAGATTCACAGAGGTGCCCGCCACCAGATATGACCACCTCAAGAGCTTTCCTTGAAAAACAGAGACTCCCTCATTCGCCCTGAGACCAGAAAATCGAGAGCCTCGGGAGAGGGGGAAGGTGGACATCTCTTGCTTTTAACAAGCTCCTCCAGTGAATCTGATGTGTGGTCAAGAATGAGAGTCACTGAATTAAAGCCATTAGGGGAAACCACTTAGCTCAAGTCAGAGATTAATTTACAAATGTCTCCTTAGCAATTAGTCTGTAAGAACATATGCATGAGGCCTGCAGGCTTCGAGAATCGTGCTAGGAGTACTCTACAAAGTACGGAGAGGAAGATGCATTAATTCTCTCTCGAGCAGGTTTTACACATTCTGCTCAGCTCTCAGCAGAACAAATGACCCTAATTA